AAGCCGCACCCACTAAATTTAAAAATACGTGCGCCCCTCCATAATAGTATATAATACTCTATAAGCCGCAGGTGTCCACCTTGTAACATGGGATATTTTTTTCCACTTTTAATTGAATAAATGCTTTTTTCCGAATTTTTTTGATCTGCTCCAGAGCCCAAGCTAACATTAGCTCCGGGGCTAACTCCTTTCAAACAGGGAAGTCGGGGTCTTTATTATCAGCCACACCGAGCACAACAGAACATAAACAGTGTTTTAGTGTAGCTCCTGTATAACCAATTCCTGCTTTTCTTTATTCTTCTAGTATCGTCACCACGGTGTAAATACATCAGATAAAACATGAGTTAGAAATTTTTGTTTCAAAATTTCTTTGCTCTTTAAAATCAAAACTTTCAAAAATGTCTTTTCCCCTTAAATGACCAGTCATCAGACTTATAATAACAAGTACCTCTCTTTCTTTTTGTCTCCTTTTTTCAGCATGAATCCGCAAACCTCTGCCGATAGCTCCAGGTTGGTCACAAAGTCTTCAATTGTCTGGAATTAAACAGAAAGTAAAAAAAAAAAAAAAACGTTTCCGTCTATCGCACAGAAATCACCTAATGACGCTTTTACTCACTTTTCCGTTCAGGCAGTTGTGCAGCTTCATAAGAGGTCCTTTGGTTTCTTCTGACAGTTTGCTCAAAATCTTCACTCTGACCTGAGGCGACACAACCAAGTTAAGAGTAAAAGTAAGTTTGACAGTGCGTTAAAAAACAAAACAAAAATGGACACCATCGGTGGTGTTCCCCTGACCTCATTAGTGATGGTGCTGGGGTTCTCCACAGACATCATCAGGTCAGCAGCCAGAGAGTTCACCAGGATGTTGGTCACATCTGTGCACAGGCTCTTCAATACGTGCTTGGCAATGTTCACCTGGGTTTCGTCTACATAAACAAAACAAAAAGAAGCGCGATAAATAATTGTCGACGTTAATTAATTAATAAGTTAACAACATGTTTAGTTGCCGGCCCTAATATCTATCTATCTATCGATAACGGGGGCCGGATCAGGAGCAGAAAGATCGTGCGTTCGTGTGTGTTCATGTAAAAGTCATGCATAAAGCCTTA